GCGGGCCGTAGTTTGAGGACCCCTGTTCTAGAAAATACTCAGCAGGTACTTAATGAAATCTGCTTCTCTAAAAGATAACATTTTTATTTCCTGCTTTGTTTTTTAACTGATTTCATTTTCTTGCATAAAAGGCCATGCTTAGATGCCATTCTCCTTCTACACGGTGAAAGTATAAATGTTTTCATCTGAGAACAAATGGGAAAGTTATCTTTAAAACCTGAAATACATATGTTTGATCTACTTTTAAAGTAAAGAGTTTCTTCTACTCTTTAGAAGAAAGGAATATACCTAAGTAGGCTTATCTGAATACTCAAGATTTCTACCAAGGTTTAAAAAAACAAAAATTGCAATTCTTGCCATTTGCTTTTATGCTGGCCTACTAGTTTAAAACAGTTGTTAAATGTTAATTTCAAATCATAACTTATTTTTTTTCTGTGTGTCCTAAAAGTTCTGGCCTTAGCTTCTGGTCCTGAGGTAGGACAACTGACATTTTTGGGGCTTGTGGGAATAATCGATCCTCCACGAACTGGTGTAAAGGAAGCTGTTACTACACTTATCACATCAGGAGTTGCAATAAAAATGATTACTGGAGATTCACAGGAGACTGCAGTTGCCATTGGTATGAATAGTCCACTTCCTTTCAGTTTTTGTTTTTCTGTTTTGGCAGTGCCTAGCTAATTGATGTGAAGTGTGCATATTAAATCTTTAATGTTTTTGAGTTCTGTATATTGGGTTATATATATATGGTAAAGTGGAATTAGGAGGAAAAAAAAACAAGCAAACAAAACCACTCTCCCCCCCCCAAAAAAAAAGCCCCAACACCCTAGCCTGAAGTGTTACTTTGTTTCCAACTTGAACTGTAGTTTTTCTAATTTGGTTAATGACTTTTGCAGTTAAAATACTATGTATTTTCTTGCTGTATTTTTTTTAGAACTTGCTAATTCTAATTCTTGATTTCTGATTTTCTTACACCTCCAACACCACCCACCCTACCCTCAGTTTTGGATGCGTGTCTTATGGCAACAGGGAGAAACTAAAATAGCAAGTCACAATGAGTATTTAGAATAGATATGGCACTTAAATACAGTTTTGTCCCTATAACTAAGTTTGAGGTTTAAGCACTATTAATAAATATTTAAACAAAATACTTCTTTTTACAATGTAATGCATTCAAGTATGAGTACTTTAGTCAGAATATGAAGTGTACTTTACGTACAGGATGATGAACAAAAAGTTGAACGTGCACCGCCAAACTAGCAGTACTTTCTCAGAGTTTTTCTCCTTGAATCTTCTATGTGATTTTTCATTTTTTGTCTTGTTATTTTTGAACTGTGAATTCTTTAGAGATGACTGAGCTCTTGTGTTTGTGGCGTGTAACACAATGAAGTACAGACCTTTAGACCTAAAAAGACTGAGGAAATAAATATCTGATTAGAATCAACTTTGTAGAATGTGTTTGTTACTCAAGAGTTCAGGTAACTTACTCCAGTATACTGAATCAATAAGGTGTTAACGATGTTCTGCTCTAGGCACTGCAAATCCGAAATGCTGCAGAAAATAGTAAATCTTTTAAAATAAATAAATAAATAAATAATAATAAAAAATAAAAATAAAAATAGTGTACTTAATTTTTTAAAAAGGTAGGCTATTATAATAACCTTTTTTATTATTTATTTCCAGCTAGTCGACTAGGATTGTATTCCAAAAATTCACAGGCAATCTCTGGAGAAGAAATAGATGATTTGGATATTCAGCAGCTTTCTCAAATAACACCAAAGGTTTGTTTTGATATATTACTTACTGAAATGCAGTAAAGGATATATTTTATATTGAGAAATGCCTTTTTCTGTGGAAAACTAAAATGTAGTTTCTGAGATACAAATAACATGGTTCTAATAGAAGTGATACAGTATATTACCAGAGACTTTCAGTACAGAAACACAGAAGCTGTCACAGATTAAACAAGTATGTTGTGGTTTGACATGTGACCACAAGAAAATTTATTTCTTTCAACTTGCATGGTTATCATCTTAGTGAGTTTATTACTTTTGTCTCTTTTAATGATTAAATTTCATTTTTACCTTTCATTGCCTGTATTGGATCTTTCATTTTCCCACCTCTCACTTCCAATGAACATCACCTTTTTGTATTTTTAGACCATTTTCTTTGAGAAGCTCAGCTCGTATATATAACCTTATAGTTTGCATGTTCAGACAGTCCATCTTTTTGTAATTCGTAAGAGCAGTTGTCTGTATCTTTAATGATTTTTAATCGATCTGAGGTCACTGGTTGAGAATTTTGAAAGGGTCTATTTATTAAGTTACTGCTTAATACTTTTTTTTAGTTACTAAATAACTAAATGTATTCATCAGTGTCAAAGTTGTAAGTGTGAAAACATAATCAAATGCAATTGAGGTTCAGGCTTGTCTGTGTTGCAAAATTTATGCATCAAAATGCTGCTCTATTTGCAAAAGACTGCAAAATTAGACTGCAGCCGAAAGCCAATATTTACAGTCAAGAAATGGGCATGTCGTCTTTGTGTCTTTCCTTGGTGACTCAGAAAAACAAACTTGGGGAAAAAAAAAAAAGAATTGTGTGGCAAATAGCAATTTTTCGTTTATTTGGTAATACTTATTCTTAAGGGCTAACTACCTTAAACAACTGAAGTTTTCTTTGTGCATGTTTGACCTGAGACACAATTTGTTTTCTAAGCGTTCATTTAAAATCTGATTAGGAATTAGTTAAAATCAACCAATAAGATTGATACCTGTGTACAGTCTGAAGTGGCTGTTGAGAATTCTGACTTCTTATCCAGCACCTTAAAAAGGAAAAGTAGATGTAAATGCTAATGGTATGGAGTTTATGGAAAACTAAATTCCACATGCTCAATTTTCAATTTACCAAGAAGACCAGAGACAAAAAAAAATTCTGAAAATTAACAGTTCCTTCTAAGCTGGAATCTTTATTAATTAGCTTTAAAACTTCAATCTGTTAATAACATGATACATAAACTTGTAAAATAGAAATGTCCCAAATAACTTGCCACTAGTGCTGACAAGGAAAAGGGCATTAATTGTAGTCAGCATGGCAATTGCTTGCATGAATTTAGTCAGGAAGGCCAGCAGCAAGCCATTATAACTCAGTTGCTTCATAATTTTCAGGTTTTTAAATTGCATATTCTATTTTGAAATAAGTAGCACCAACTTGATTTGCCACAACACTTTGAACCTTCTCTGGAATTAGTGATTTCACTCTATTAAAAACACAGCTCACTGATGCTTCAGCTTTAGAGCTAACAAGAGCACAGTTGGCCTCTGGTAGTATTTTTTTATCCTCTAGCTTTACAGAATCCGGTGCAATTCTTTACATTTCTCAAGTTTTCACTACTTCTTCATTGTACTTTTAACAGATTGCAGTATTTTACAGAGCCAGTCCCCGACATAAATTGAAAATTATAAAGGTATGTCTTACTAGAGGCTGAAATGCTGGTCTGTTGCTGTAGGTACTGTTTGCCGTGCTTTTACTTCAATTATAACGTGCTATAGCATGTAAAGATGAAAACAGAAATGCATTTGGTTTGAAAGTGAAGTGTATTTGAAAATATTACCTAGAAAAATGTGTAGTGCCCACAAAGGGTAGGCAGCTGCTGGTAGGCAGCATCATGCTTTATTCTATGTAGGGACCTGGGTGTTGATTGAGATTTTGTGTCATATCACAGTTGAATTGACTAGAAACTTGAAAGAACCATATTTCTGATACTTCTCAGAACAAGATAAAAGGGCATGAATTTCAAGCCATGTCTGAGGTAATGCTTCCGTTCAGAAGTTAACAGAAGAAGGTAGCAAAGAGGGACATACCCTATGTAATAACTGGAACAATCAGAAAAGCAACAATAAGCAGAAGGAAGTAAAGCATTAAGGCAGTTGGAATATATTAAGAATTATAAGAGGGTGATAATGTTGTAATGTAAATATAGTATCTTTCTTTCTCTAAAGTTTTTTACTATCTCTTAAAGGCAGATTTTTTTTAATACCCTAGCTTAAAAATGTAGGCTGAACCGAAGTTTAAAAATTAATTAGAATACAAACAGCTGCATTATTTATCTTTTTTTTAGGGTTTTACAGTGGAATGATAAGGAATTGAGGGGGCGGGGGTGATGACACCAACCTTGTATCTAGAATAATTTTGTAGGAGGGGTTATTTCAATCCCTGATTTAAGCTCTTTTCCCTTTCTTTAGTCCCTGCAAAATAATGGTGCGGTAGTAGCTATGACAGGAGATGGAGTGAATGATGCTGTTGCTCTGAAGGCTGCAGATATTGGTGTAGCAATGGGACAAACTGGAACAGATGTCTGTAAAGAGGCAGCAGATATGATCCTCGTGGATGATGATTTTCAGACAATAATGTAGGTGGCATTTATGTACATACCTTGTGCTATGTAGTTTTAATGAATTGTTGCCTAGGTTAAAAACAAAAGAAATTCTCTGAACTTGTAAGTGTAGCAGCTGTTAAGTTCTTTGCTAAGACAGGAGAACTATCTTTACGGTGATTACCTATATTATCCTCTTAAAGACCTGGGAACGTAATAGTACAAGGGGCAACTAAGCATTTCTGTCCTTTTATGTATGTTAATATAAGAATGTAGTTACATATTTAGACTTTTTGCTACTTTTTTTACATAGATCAGATGGAAATAACAAAGGAGTATGTGCTTTAAAAACTAACATGTGTTTCTGCTTCTCCAAGTAGAATTATGGTAGAAGTATATTTGGAAACGTAATTGAGGTGAAATTGTGAGTCTGTTAGCTGTCAGTAGGATTCATCTTCATTTGATTTCTTTCTTCAGAAGCATAAATCTTGTATAAAAATGAGAGTGAACATTCCTCTCAGGATTTAAATTAGAGTGCTCTTTTCAACTCTTTAAAATGGTGGTTTCAGAAAAGGAAAGGAATATAAGTTATTTAAATATCAAGGTGGTGAAAATAAATTACCAACTTCTAGTAACCAGCTATTTGTTACTTTTTAATTCTTTTTGTTTGGTGTACTTCAAAGAGAGCATAGCTAAACTTACCTTATTTTGGATTGAATCCATCTGAGTTTTGAAGATGGTTGTTTGCAGAGCTGGACTGCTGTCTAGTGAGGACGTAGCCTTCATTTTGAAATCATGCATCAATCTCAGAACACTTCAGTTTGTCTGAAACTGTGATGCTTAACTATTGGGAAGAAGTGAAATGTAGAAGTACAATTTAAGAAAATCTGTGTAGGTGGCAGTATGTCAGAGGATGATCTGAGAGTTAAAAGGTTTCTGTACTAATTAAGCCAACAGCAATATGCTGTCATGCAAAATCAAAAGAGAGAACAGAATAATTTTTAAGATATTCAGAAGAGTACAGAGGAAGGGCATCTGTAGTAAGTAGTTGACTTTATTTGGGCTTGATGCAGCTTTTGCTGGAATGCTATATCCAGTTTTGCTCACTTCATAAGGAAAGTTCTTGGAGAGTGAAGAGTGGTGAACGCTAAGGGGGGAAAAAATACATGACCTTCCATAGTTTTATATCAGTCTCACAATCCCTTTAATATTTTTCATCTTAAAAGTTACAAAAGGAATGCTGATTAATTGTTGTTCTTGGCTATTGGAGGAATGGAAGAAAAAGAAACCAGTTGTATTTGCAGCCGAGTAGACTTGATTTAGGTATAAGAAAACACTTTCTCACTGCTATAATTGCGATAATGTGATAGGCAAGTTGCCAGAGGTTGAGAAGATGGTCTATAGGTAGAAGATGGTCTATTTCATTCTAGTGCAGTAAGAGTACATGGTCTTCTAAAGTCATGCTATATTTCTATGATTTTGTAAAAGTGTGGTGTTTGTTTGGGGTTTTTTTTTTAATTATCTAACTTGAATCGGAAGTTCTCAACAAGAATGATGGTGAATCTTGAACAAAGAGGAGATTTTACTGTTATGTTTCATTTTGAAAGTGAAGCAGCTGGAAAAATAAGTGTTGTGATTAATCTCATAGTCAAGTTGAAAAACAGTGACTACCAAAGTTATAAGAACTTCAGCTCTGTTTGTTTCTTGACATTTATACTGTTGCTTAAAATAATAGCTTTTCTTAGTTTTAAGCTTTTTTTGGCAGTAATCTCATTTGTCTAGTGATGTAATCTTTGGTTTTAATTGCAGGTCTGCAATTGAAGAGGGTAAAGGAATTTATAATAACATAAAAAACTTTGTTAGATTTCAGCTGAGCACGTAAGTTTGAAAAGTTGACAATATCAGAAGGTTCTGACTACATTGTGAATAAATCAAAGCATCATGAACCAGATGCTGCATAAATTCATGTGAACATCGTAAATTTCACATAGGATGCTGATATGCTGTGCATTTGAATTTTCAGTATTTTGTATTAGGTGGCTTGTTTCATTTTTAAAGTATCATAAAATAGCTCAATGAACAGACATCTAACAGTTCTTGCTGTTAATATGTGAAAAGTCAGTAACTGAGAGGATAGAGAAACAGGATAGCTTCCTTTGCATCAGTGTTTAAATGAGAAGTTAGCAGTCATTCTTTCCTTAACCAGAACATGGATATCAGATGGAGGAAGACAGAGAAATGGAAGATAGTTTCTCTGTAAACGATATACTAGTTTGTGGAAAGAGTTAGCTCTGTGAAGCTGACTTCCTTTTTTTGCATATAAGGGTGCCTATGCTAGCTATATCACATATACATGAGAGTTCAATAGTTTCCAAAATTTTGTGAGTTTATCTTTTTGAATCTGGCTTCAGGGACATGGTTTTCCTCTTCACAGTGTTGTTCATGTACTTTTTTTTAAGCCTTCATGGCATTGCATTTCAGAGCGGTTGAATAAAGTTGCAGAAATAAAAAAAACAAACCCCAAAACCTCAAAACCCAACCAACCAAAAAACAAACAAACAAAACCAACATAAAAAACCCCCACAAATGCCAAATACCCCTTTAAAAACCCTCCAAAATCATCACCAAAAACCCCCAATACAACAAAACCCAGGAAACAACAACTTCTTGAAACCTCTATAAAAATTGGAAGAAGTGTCATATACTTAGTCTTGACTAGTGCCCTGCATTAGTAGAAGACTAGAAATATGCTTCTGAAAAATAACTAAGCGTAGATATTATAGGACAGTGTGCTTGCCTGTTAGCCTTGGGAGTGGTAGCCTCAGGTTTCTGACACCCTTTTCTCCTGTCCCTTTTTGCAAGGAGAGCATAATAGAGTTCAGTAGAGCGCTAAATTTGGAATTCCTATAAGCCTTACTCTCTTTTTGTTGGTTATGAAACCACTTGATTTTGCACTGAAAGCAATTAGTGCATACTTGGTTTAGAGAGGTTTCTAATACCAAGCTTGCAACCAGCTAATCTGCTTTCATTCTTTTGCCTAGCCTTCTCATCTTCCTAATAATGAGGGGTAGCGTAGGTATTTTTAGGGAGCTGGGTTAGTACCTTCCCTTGACTGATTAGTCAGACTAGTGACAAATGCACATAGTGGTTCTGCTTACATTAAAAGTGTAAAAGCAGTTAGTTTTTCAAAACCATGTTTAGAAGTTCCACTTCTAGCACAATAAAAGTATAGGACCCAGTTCCTCAGTAAAAAAGTATCAGTTAGGTGGAGGTGAGTGATAACTCTGAAATGTAGTCTTAAAGTTTGGGAGGGTTTTAAGATGCATATTTGCTGTCTGTATTGCCCAAACAATGCTGTTTTAAATATGGAGTGTGTCAGAATTAGTATTTTAAATGAATTAACGCTCTACCTTTAAAGTTAGGCTTATGTCAGTCATGATTCACACTGTCAAAATCTGTATCTACACTTAAACAGTTGAAGTGTTGATTACAAAGCAGTTATCAGTGGATATTCAGAAATACTCCATGCTGACAGTTATAAAAATGGATTCTTTCAACAGGAGTATAGCAGCACTGACTTTAATCTCACTGGCTACATTAATGAACTTTCCTAATCCTCTCAATGCCATGCAGATCTTATGGATCAATATTATTATGGATGGACCTCCAGCTCAAAGGTAAGTAATTACTTTAAATTCCATTAGAGGTCTGTAGTCCTTTTGTTTCAGCAAGGAAAATGGTTGCTCATAAAGGAAACTGAAGTTTTAAACTTCAGTGCAATGTTTCTGAAATGGCAGACTTTTTCTTTGAATTACAGTGTTTGCAGTATAGTTCTATGTTCATTCCTTTTGGTTTGCTGTAGTATCTACCAGTAATTATGGGGGCAGCGTGGATACCTAAGGATCCACAGATGTGCCCGTGAAACTTGCATGCAGGATTCTGGCTTCCCTCTGGATTCTTCCTCTGACCCTCTTCACTGCAGATAGATGATGGAGGGAGAGGTGGAAAGCAACTAGCAGTAAATTCCATGGCTAGGTTGATCACAGTAACAGAAATGGGGAACATAACTAATACTGCAGCTTCCTTTAAAGTTAATATCTGGTAACTTTAATACTGTCTGATATCATATATCTAACACTTTAACTGCAATGTTAGAATATTGCCTGTTACTAATACATATAGCTCAGTTTTCTGCAGGTGAAAATATCATGTGTTTATTTGAATGAGTTGATTCTTAGGCTGTTGAGAGAAGATTATTATCTTTCTTTCAACAGAAAATATAGTCCTTAAATTAGAAGCAGTAAATTATTTTTATGATTATAAAAATCTAAGATGTTCTTTTAATTGTAAGTCTTGGGGTGGAGCCTGTGGATAAAGATGTTATTCAGAAGCCTCCAAGAAATTTGAAGGACAGCATTCTGACCAAAAACCTGATTGTTAAAATACTAGTTTCATCAGTAATTATCGTGTGTGGAACACTGTTCGTCTTCTGGAGAGAGGTATGACAAAAGTACAAAACTTAAAGCAGTAACAAACTAATTTGAAAGAAGTATCTTTTATGTCAGCAGTTGGAATTCAGAATTTGTATTAACTTAGTTGCAGGTTTTTTCTGTGCTCATTTAATAATATATTCAGCTAGCAGATTAGAGAGGAAGACCTTCCAAGTGGCTGTTGAATTGAGGAATACAGTTTCATTCCCCGCTTTCTATTTTAGCACAGGCTTTTCCAAGTCCCAAATCTACTCGGGAAACCTCGGTCCATAGAACGTAATGGCACAAATCTGTTGTGCCAGACTGTTATGCAACAGCCATTTGACTTTTCACAGTAGAGAGAAATGTTGTTTGAACTTTTGGTAGTGCATCAGAGAATTTTTGGTATTCCATGTGCTTGCATAAATTTTTGTCAAGAGGCTTCATTTAATCACAGCTTGGAATTAGAAATTGTTATAAGTTATGTGTGTAATTTTTGCTGTATGATTTATTAAATCAGCTTGGGGTAAACAAGTTGCTTTTGCTTTTATTAGCTAGCTAGTAGAACTTGAATTATTGTAATAGCTTAGTTTAGTTGTTGAGGGTTTAAAGCATACTAAAGCCATTTCATTTTCTCTCGTTGGCAGTTAAGAGACAACGTAATAACGCCTCGAGATACAACTATGACTTTCACATGTTTTGTATTTTTTGACATGTTCAATGCTTTGAGTTCTAGATCTCAGGTAAGTGATTTGTATTGTCCGTTTACACAGTATTTACACAATGAGCAGAATTTTCTTTAAGGAAGGATCTTGTGATTTTTCAAATGTTTTCCTGCAGATTTACTTCACATCTGCTATTAAGCTTCAAAGTTTCACATATTTACTAGGTAGGATTTCTTAAATTACAGGTAAGTATTAGTTTCCTTAATTTGTTTATGTGATTCAGAGCTGGTAGTAATGCTTCTATCCTGACAGGAGCAAGGTAGTTTTTAAAAGCTGAAGTGTGATGAACCTTTGTATTGCTGTGTACATGTGGTTGTTTTTTTTTTTCCCCTGAAAATTCTGTAAGTTCAGCATTCTTGCCAGAATCTGAAACTTCCTGAAGGTTTTTATTTCGTAACCCTAAACCCATAATCTAAGGAAAATTTCTTAAACTGTTCTTTCTTTTCTATATTTTTGTTTTAAGGAAACAAGTCTGAAATTCTGTGCTAGCTGGAGAAAAGTACATTGCTAGTATACATTACTACATTTGCAGTCTGTTTTCTGATGTGAATGGTCAGGGTCAACAAAAACACTCCCTTCTAGTGTAGAGGGCACCTTCTAATGCAGTGTACTTGCAGAAACATGAGCTCAACATACAAGTTCTTGACTATGAAGACAAGATTTGAACTCTGTTTACCGGAGAGAAAATGCAATTACTTGTTCAGTAACTTGTTCGGGATTATCTAAAAGGTCAACAATTTTTCACATTTTTCTACAAGTCTGGCTGAAAATAAATTGTAGTTACGAGTTATTTTCTTATCTAGATAATTAAGATTACACGTACAGTGTAATGTATTGTTTATTTTACAGGCAAAATCTGTGTTTGAGATTGGGCTTTGCAGTAACAAAATGTTCTGCTATGCCGTCCTTGGATCCATAATGGGGCAGTTATTGGTCATTTACTTTCCTCCACTTCAGAAGGTTTTCCAAACAGAGAGCCTGAGTGTCTTGGGTAAGAACAGTTCCCTTTTCAAAACTGTACATTAAGAAATACTTTGTAAATGCATTAGCTGATAGTTCTATAAGAGCACTTTCTGGCTGTTTGCATACAACAGGAATGCAAAGTCTGCTGACTTTAAAAAAAAATATAAAAAAAAGGAAAAAAAAGAAAAAAATCCTTTTAGATGTTTTCTTTGGGACCCATGATTTAAATGCATATGGTACACAACTGATCAGTGCATTCTTCAATTTCTTAGGTGTGTTTGTATATTAGTTTTTTAAGATAAATTTTGATACAGGCAAAAATTAAACATAGTTTATTGACTTTTTAAGCACTACTAATCTTGCTATTTAGCATTTTTTTTCTCTAAGTATATAGAGAAACACCTTATTTATAAATCTTGATCCTTTATTAAATAATCAGCTGCATTGTCATACGATAAATAGACATGAGGATTTTAAGAAGCTATAGATACACAATGCTGTTGGCCTCATTAAGACTTACAATTTATTACTTGTGTGGTTCTTGTGGAGTTACACGGTTGTCATGAAATACATGTTTTTACATAATTCTTTTTATTGTAGTGTCATTTCTAATTATACTAATATTTTTTTTAGTATGAAGTTAATTTTGTTGCTTAGTGTTCTTTTTCATAGGTGTTAATAAAAATACGGTTATGAAATACGTCAAAAGTTTGAAATATCGTGCTTGTACACGATTTGCACGTTAACTGTGCGTTAATCTTCTGGTCCTGCAAAAATTGATACTTGCTTCATTTCTCCTGAACTTTCAAATTTTCTCCTAGTCATTAAGTAAGTCTTGTAAGTCTAGCAAACTTTTAAAAGGCTAATTATCTCTTTCCAGATTTACTGTTTCTTGTGGGACTCACTTCCTCCGTGTGCATAGTGACTGAGATCATAAAGAAGTTTGAAAGAAGCAGGGAAAAGATCCAGAAACATGGAAGTTCTTCTTCATCATCTTTTCTTGATGTATGATGCATATTGCATTCTTTTGTTTGCAAACTTAGGGATTGCTGTCTAAAGATGTAGGAGAAAGCAAAACAGTATTTAGAGGATAAAGAAATCCTGAGGGCTTTTAACAAGTCCTTTGTTTCACTGGCTAATGGTGAGTGTTCATGTTTCAAGACTGTTTAGAATTTAACTTCCAGCTGTGGGAGTAACAAATGAAATTATGCAACTTTGGTAACATTTTTCCTCAAACATAAATTTACTTTTGAGATTGAATGGGATTTTGTGTGTGTGGGGGGGTTAATTTAAAGAAAGATCTAAGCCCAAGTCCCATTTTCTGCACTTAAAAGATGTAACTGTGTAAAATCCTTCTCCTAGATATAAATATTTTAGTTTGTTTTTATTTAAAACATTGTACTATTTTACTTCTATGGTGGTGGGACTTTGCTACTAATACAAGGGTAAAAAGATATTTCAGAGGCATTCCAATGGGTTTAGTCTGTCACAAGAGTGCCATATTCTAGCTACTGTATTTATTTACTTTATCCTGCAATGTGTAAGCGGCTCAAGTACCTTGTGCTACAGTTTTTTTGTATCCTAAGTTTGTTTGGGGGTTTTTTGCACAGGATATGACCGCCGTTGGATCACTGTTTTTCTTCTCTTTTTCTGTGATTGAAAAGCCTATACTGCAATTTGAAGTAAATGTTTGCTTTTCTTAAGTGTGTTGTCTCTTTGTTTTAAAAGAAACTGGTATTTACACCAAATTAGCATGCTTGTTTTGATATAATTTTAAATACAAGCTTTGTTTCATGTCTTGTTCCATATTTTTTGTAGCTTATGACTCTTAGATCACTTGAGTGATTATATGACAGTACTGTTATTGAAATGATTTGTAGTGTATTGAATTAGAAAATGAATGCACTAATTCTCACTCTAATGGTGAAAAACCTCACCCCTTTCCAAGAAGCTTGGTTTTCTTTCCTCTTCTACCCTGATCATAAAAATAAACTTTTTACTGCTAGTGTAACTTTTAAATTTTAACCTACAGAATGACTTTTTGTGGCTAGAAAAGCATTATTAGAGTTGTGTCTTGATATGTTAAAAGTATTTAATATATGATAATGTTTGAATACTCCAATATTCACTAATTGGAAATGGTGGTCTTCATCAAAATAGACTTGCAGCTGTTGTCCTCAGTGCCTTCTCATCAGAGTAGGGCTCATCATCCCTTGAGGAAATGCAATGAACAATCACATAGGCAATCTTGAAAAAAGGATGTTTAAGATCTCTAGGGGGAGTTGGAGTAGTGGTGTCTCTTTTGCTTGAAAGTATGTGGAGCAATGTCTTTCGGCACTGCAGCCTGAAAGCGTAGCATTGGTAGTGGCTCAGAGCCATCCTGAGCGATGACAGCGGTCATCCTGTTGGTTAATGAGGAACTGTCATAAACAGGCACTGGGATATTTCTGCACTTACCTTTGTGGCTTGTCTCACATGCCATGCTCAAAATCTGTGGAGTTCATGGAAAACAAGGCAGTTTGGAAGGTGCTGTATGAATGTGTCTGCTAAGAGGTTATTTTAATTGTTTGTTTGGTTGTTTTTTTCCCTTCTCCCTTCCCCCTGCGATTCCCAGACTCGGTCAGGAAGTGGGGCTGCAGACAGGAAAGACACACATTCAGTTAATGCATTGCTCTAGCTGACCCTGGGCCTGCTCAATGTGCACGTTACCTGGACTACCAATGTGCAGGAGCTCTAATGGTGTAAAGCAGATGACTGAGCATATGGCCCTTGCCTCTTCCCTCAGGATGTTATGTGAGTGTTACCTCTTACGGAAATGCTCTCATGTCTTCAGGCAAAAATTTCTTATTTCCAGCAGTTCTGCCTTTCAGAAGTTGAACAGATTTGTCAAGGTTCCTCCCGTTGTACTATTACCATCTTTGGCAAGTAGTTCAGTATTGTTGTAGTGTGTATTTCTATGCAATTTCAGAACACTTATTAATAAAATACTTAATATTCTTCGGTAAAGACAGATAATAAAAACTGACAGTGCACGCTGATGAAGAATCTCTTGAATGCACTTGGGTTTTGAGAACATACAGCAACTCTACCTTTCACATAGTAAGTCTTAACTTGTTGATTTGACTGCTTTGTGCTCTGCCCTTTGTCTTGGGAGTCCCAGAAGTCCCAAGTACAGAAGTGCAGATACACCAATTTGTCATCTTAGCTTGGAAGTGTTATTACCTAGTCTTTAAGCAAATTTTATAAAGTACCCATTTCCCAGCACAAGTCTCACTTTCTGAATAAGACATAAAAATTCAGTCTGTTAAGAACAATTAATTCTGCCTTGCAGAGTAAGCTTGATTGAATGCTATTCCCTTTAAATATGCCAAACTAAGTTTTGCTGTGTTTTCCAATGGGAGAGGCATGGACTGAATTCCATAGCTATTTTTTGGCTCTGCTTTTGATCATTACCTCCTAACAGCACATTTGAGAGATTTTTCTCCAGAACAATTGAATCAGTAGTGGGATTTTTCTACAAAAATTGAGGCATTGAATGTGGGGTGAAAACAGACTGCAACAAAGGAACTTAGTTGCTCTTACTAAAGCATGGAATAGAGAACTTTACAGTTTTAATAAATAAGAGCCCTTTATTTTTTCATTTTTCTCCCAAAGAAGATTGAAAATCTATAATGACTCAAAGAGGAACACTGGAACACTTGATTTAAATTTTGAATAGTAATCACAGAATCACTAATTATTTCCCTTGACATACAGGATTGGTGTTTGCAATGAGGTGTATTTCATTTTACCAGCGACAAAAGAACAGCTGAATTCTGCATTAAAAACCTCTTTCTAGTAGAGTAATTCTTAATTGAGTCAGCACTCCCAAAAGTATTCTCAAAATGCCATGTGATCTTAGCAGCATTTTTATGTGAAAAGTGGAATACTTGAGTTTATCCCAGTCTTATGAACTATCTATTTGCTTCTTATCCAAGTCTCAAGAATTTTTGTTCTACAGAATGATTCAGAGTAAATTAAGATCTCTCTTCTTACAGCACTAACAAAGTGGTATCAAACATGCCTGTATTTTTATATTTAAGACTTAGTTTTAAATATGACTGATTAAAAACTGTAAGGAACTACAAGCTTGGTAAAACAAAGCACATGGGATCCTAATGGATCAGAGGATGATTTAGGATTTAAGTTTTAGTTACTAAAATAAAGAACTTCAACCCCTCTCAACTTAAATAAAGTCACCTGATGGATATGTGATCCATGTGGACAGCTGTCCGGGTACATAACCAGGACTGAAAACTGAGCACATGATGATGCACAAATCAAGCTTGAATTCTAGTAAGTAATGAACAAAACTTTAATGATTAGAAGTGAAAGTCATGATTTTCCTGAATGTAAGAAATTTGTACCACAAATGTAGTAATTAGATGTCACATGGGGAAGACACTAGAAAAACGAGTTTTGGAAGAAAAGCATTTATGTAAATTGACTAGTCTTTCTGGAAAGTTAGCTGATACAAAGCACTGAGAAATACTGATGATGTAGGATTTTTTAAATATAAACTGCTTTCCAGTATTACAACATTGAGAGTAGGGGTTTGGCAAGTAACAGTGTACATGAGGGCAAGTTCAACAGGTCTGTTAATTTTAGAGCCATTAGAGAAATGAGGTTAACTTGCATGACAACAGTTTGTTAATGGCAGAAGAGTGTACAAAATTACTCTGAATTAGGAAACCTGATGAAACTTGTTACCATGTGATAGCTTTGTGTACTCCTACATACATAAAAATGCATAAAAAAGGCAGAGGTGGGTGGGCGAGGGAGAGAATAGAAGCTGAAGTTCCTCCCTGAGTACAGCTCAGTACCTACAATATTGCAAGCACAATTTACGTTGTCACTGAGTAAGTGTCACTGTTGTCATCTCTCCCTGAAAGTAAAAATACTCTACCTGTAAAGCCTGATTCTACTGTCTTTAAAAAGACTATTTTTAAAATTGTCAATTTCCATTTTAATCTGATCTGTAAAACAGTTCCATTTTAATCTGATCTGTAAAACAGTTATTCACATTGTTCCTCAAAAACAATTTTTTTTTTTTTTTAAATTAGAAGTGTTTGGGGAGATGGAGGGATAGCCAACTATAAATGTTCAGGAGAATAATTCCTCCACGGTAGTCCAGCTCTGAAATGCTGAACAACTTTCCTCTCACTTTCAATTAGTGTCATACCTTTAAAGAAAAACAATACAACTTTTATACAGCACCTCTTTTTAAAGACTGTTAGTTACAAAACACATAAATTAAAAAATTCCCCAAAGCAAGAATTGTTGGTAAAGACTGAATCAGGAACTTGTGTGAAAACAGCTGAACAAGTTCCCATACAGTCACTTATTTTCATATCATTTTTTTCCATCTGCATGGCCTGAAAAGTTACTCCAGGAATAATGCTTTCAGTCATCCACTCCAAGAGATGCAAACCTATTAACACTGCATAAATGCTGAGTTTCTGGAATAGCACACCCAGTAGCTTTTTTTTTCTTATTAGATGCTTTCTTCTTTTTGCAGGATGTGGTCTTGGTCATCTTCTGAAAGAAGTCTGGAGATACAGTTGACTCCACTGTTTTTAACAAAACCTGATAAAGCTGAGACATTTTTGGAGATAAACCAATCAGATTTTCCACTGAAGGTGTTGATTTAAGCTCTTGATACAGTCTGTGCACAAGGGTCCCAGTGTAAAGCCTGCTCAAAGGAAGGAGAGAATCCTCACTTAGAATTGCACCTCAGCAGGATAGGTAGAGAAGCATGCTGTTTAATGAAAAAACAGATCTTAATTACATACAGTATCCAACAGTGGGCTTCTAACGGATTTCTATTATACTCAGTATTTTTCTCCATATTTGTATCTTTGAAGAAGGGAGTTTAGATGTAGTAAAATTAGCCAAAGGAGTTTGACACAGAAAATAAAAACGTGAACACATTCCATCAGGGGTTTGTGTGGAAAGATCTCTGAAACATCCTTACCTACTTAGGTCTGGCTCAGAGAGAGGAGTGCAAAGTAGCTGGTTGAGATACAATCCCATCTGAAGACAGCACTGCCACTGGCAAAAACTGTGTGCAGCATCTAAATCAAAGTCTTTATTTTGCAATTTCTTTTCCTTCCATTTCAGAAATTCGTTATATGCAATACTGCCATCTTCAGCACATAAAACTGTGGGACATAGGTTACAAATAAAAAATTACATTAAAGAAATATTCTGCTGTGAACAGTACAAAAGGTATCTGCAATGTATAGGATCTTCAAACCTCCACTTCTATTTCAGGAAGCATTAGTGATGTTTTCAAGTGTCTCAAACTGAACTTTTAAGACATAAAATTGAGTAAAAATTTTAAGTATTAATATCCAGGAGAATCTGAAATTGTGAAATCAGGAATTCTGTTTGTTAGGTAATTTGCTATGCTGTTCTGTAAGTTGATCAATTCCAAACAGGATTTCCATTTCACCTCTACCCACTTGGGAAGCAGGTGGCAACCACATCAGTCCAGTTTCTATAAACTAGAACCTAAAGAATGGTATAACCCTGGTGTGTGTCATCTTTGCAATCAAATGAAGGGCTACTAGAGGAAATGCCACTGTAACTCTTAACAGGTATATATTTCTGAAACAATTTTGGTGATAGTTTAGTACTTAAAAATTCTCTGAATGCACAGTGCCTGCGCAACTCAGCATTTTTAAGTACAGATTATTTTAGAAAAACTCATGAGAAAAAAAAAAGAATCTATCAGAATGTATCAATAGTAGTTATTATCTTTTGATGCATGAGTATATTAAGCTTATTTTTTTCTAACTTTTATATCTAAAGTGATCTTTTAGTCCTAAAGAAAGCATTTATAAATGCAAGCTAATGTTTTACAAGATGGTAAAGCACTGTTTTACCTATAGAAAGCATTACCTTGACTGCTCTGTATGAATGCAAAGAATGTGATACCTCCAGATACAGTGCAAATCAATGCTAATTCATCTGAATTGGAACAACTCACCATAAATGACAAAAAATGAATTATGGTAGATTTTCACAGTAGCTAAACATCTAAAACTGTATTATTTGGAGATATACCTGGATCACTTGTTATCCGGTGCAGTTCTCCAGATACTATCATTAGAAGTAAAGCCTTTAATTGATGCAACTTAACTTTCGGTTCTGAACAATGTATCCAATAACACGTTACAGCAACAGGGAGTTGTAAGTGACTGGGGATACCTTCCAGGGAACTCATTTTCACTCCTAGAGTCTCCAGTAAAAGCATCTGACGGCATGACATGGGCACCTGAAAATGAATTTAAAAATTGAAGTTAAAAAAAAAAAAGGTAAGAGACATTAGTTGCTGTGAGCAATTTCCAAAAGGCAAATAAGCTTCTGTTTAACTAGCTAGTACTTCATACTTTTGATTACAAAATTGTTTAAATCTCATAGACATTCTGACCAGGAAATATTTGTTAAATACTACTTAAGCTTTAAAAACTAAACAGTTAAATATTAGGTAGAAGGACAAATGAATTCTTTACAATTCCCTGATGTTAGATTTTAAAGAGATTTCAGAGTCTTCTTCAAATCAGGTGACTTAAACTCCTATGCAAAAGTTAATTTGCTTGGAAAAATCTTGTAACCATAATGCATTAAAATTACTTTGGTATGGCACATATATATATGAAAACCTTCATTTTGTGCCTCTTAGAAGTTACCCTTGCTTTGTGAGATGTAATGGAGATGTCTGTTCTTCGTATGTTGAAAGCATACTTACCTCTAATCTTAAGTGTGAAGCTTGCATTTTTCACTTAGAATGTATTAATTCCTATCATGTGTTCCTTCTTTGTTGTGCTATTCAACTGCTAAAAAGTGGTGTTATAAACTCTGTCCGTAACTTCATGCATGCAGCAGAATTGCAGCAGGCTGTTCAACTATAATTCGAGTGCTTTGTGAATCCTGACTAGGATGGTTTTGCCTACTCTGAGGCAGACATCCCCATAGCAGAAGACAAACTGAAATCAGTTTTGCTTAGAACACTTTAAATGCAGAATAACCTGTTTTCTAACCTTATGTTGAATTGATAATGCCCATATATTTAGTAAGGAGAGTTGCTGTAATAGTGGAAGCTCAAATTCATTACACAAACAGCATACATACCAAGACCAAATTAAGGTGTCATTAATGGTTCTTAAAATCCCAAAACATGATTTTTCAAACTCTTAAGTGTTTACATGTTGCTCGTTTAAAAGGCCTGTAACAGTAACTTGTGTAAGATAACCTGTATGTAGGCCTCTGGATCCATACCTATGTGTAGTGTTAAATGGTTGTCTGGCAAGCAGCAGGGGCTCCATGTTAGCAGGACACGTACTTGCGGCAGGTAAAATTGCTGAGCAGCTGCAAGATTCGTACATGAAATAATGGTGGGTTTTCGTAAAAAAGCATGGGTCAGATTTTCTTTCAGAGCATTGCTCTGAAACATCCATATCAAATGATCAAATTAAGTTCTGTAGCGTTAAATTGCACTTTGCCAGATTTCATGCAACTGAATTCCTTCCTATAATTATAAAGGCAAGTATTAAGTGTAACAGGATGCAAAGGATGAAAGAAGGGCTTAAGAATGAAAAATCTGGGCAATACTACATATAGATACAACCAACTTTTCATACAGTTTGTCTTGGTACACTTGGGGGAGGTGGGAAGGGAAGAAGATAAAGGCAATCTGTGTAGCTTCTCAAGTATCACAGGCCAAGCTCAGAGCCCTGTACATGCCTCTGTATTTAAGTAATTACTTACTGAGGTGGCTTAGTTCAGACATTGCATTTAGCAACTATTTGGCAAACACGAGTCCCAACTGGTTTTTGTCACTCGTGAAACACTGCTAACCGTGATCTGTTGCGACAACCATTTACCTCCATTAACTTGTCCAAAGGAAAATGATCATCACAAAAATCTGTGGGTAGGCTTGCTGCTTGAACAAATGTTTTTTTAAGTGTCTTTTGGAGTCTGTCAAATTCACATACAACTGGCAGCTCGTTGGTCTGCTTACTTGGAGAAGCAGCTTCAGTGTTCTGAGATGCTTTCAGAAGTAGTCCATAGATAACTTGTCGAATGGGCAAAGCTGTACTATGTGCGCTAGGTCTCTGCATGTTCTCCACCTGCACATGGAGGAAGGTACTTCTTAGTATCAGGGCATCGCTGATGAATGGGGCCAGCTTACCTTTTGCCAAAGCATCAAGTACCCACTGCGGTACGTCTGCTTTCCTGGCAACCTCACATTTGTACCTTCCATTGTCAAAGAAGTCCTCAAGGTTGACATCAGATGGAGTATAATCCTCCATTGAAGTGCACAGGAGCTCCTTTACTTTTTCTCTCTGGTGTTTCTTCAGGTATTTCAGCAAACTGTCGACAGCCTCGGTGGGCTCGGCAAACTGCGACAGCCAGTTCAGAAGCCCCTGAAGGCGGCCGTGCCTCCCCCGCTTCCCCGCCGGGCACCCGCTCGGCAAGGGCACCTTGCTGAAGAACACCTCGAGAGCTGCCAGGTCGATGTAGTCATTCCCGTTCATGACGGCGAAGAGCGGGAGCAGGCTTCTGTTCAGGTGGCTGAAGTGCCTGCAGAACTTCTCCACGGAAAAGCAGCGAGCGGGCACGTAGCAGCCCCGCGGCCCCTCCCCGGCGCA